CCGGGGCCCCGGGCCCCGCTGGGGACGGGACAGGCCTGCCCGCGACGCACCAGCCCCCGGCCCAGCCGCGCGAGGCCACCGCCAGCGGCACCGGAACTGCTCGCAGCGTCATCTCCGGGCCCGCTGTGGTGGGCCTGGAAGACCGGGGCTCTATGGTTGCTGTGCACCCGCTCTCGGGGGCTCGGAGGACCGGGGCTCTATGGTTGCTGCACCGGTTGTTGGACTGGGACTCCATGGTTGCTGAGCATCCGCTCTGGTGGGACTGGAAGACTGGGACTCTATGGTCAACGCGCGCCCACTCTGGTGGGCCCGAAGGATGGGTGCTCTATGGTTGCTGAGCCTCTGCTCTGGTGGGCCTGGAGGACTGTGACTCCATGGTCACTGCACGCCCACTCTGGTGGGCCCGGAGGATGGGCTGGAGGGCTGGTGCTCTATGGCTGCTGAGTATCTGCTCTGGTGGGCTTGGAAGACTAGGACTCTATGGTCACTGCACACCCACTCTGGTGGACCTGGAGGATGGGCTGGAGGATTGGTGCTCTATGGTTGCTGAGTATCTGCTCTGGTGGGCCTGGAGGACTGTGACTCTATGGTCACTGCACGCCCACTCTGGTGTGCCCAGACGATGGGCTGGAGGGCTGGTGCTCTATGGTTGCTGAGCATCTGCTCTGGTGGGCGCGGAGGACGGGCTCTCGGTGCAGGGCATGTACAGCTCTTCCAGCATCAGAAGTGCTGCAGCCAGAGCTCACGGCCTGTGCACATGTGCGTGTGCGTGTGCCCGTGACCCAGGAAGGAAACTGTGACAAGCTGGAGGCCTCCTGTCCTCGAGCGTTCGTCTCCCTTGCCGCTGGGCCCAGACCTCCACCTTGCTGAGATCATGGGGTCGCCATCTCCACACATCAGCTTCCTCATGTTCAACCAAGTCACGGGCTTCTACCACAGGAAACAAGGCACCCACTTGCAAAAGCCCTGCGCCATGAACCAGGGGTGACGGAGACAGGACTACTGAATCTGGGAGTCTCTAGCCACAAATCTGCACAGAGGTGGTTGGTAGCCTGATGGTTGCCTCGCCCATGATCGAATGGGTGTCTGTAACATGTGAGCCATGCAAGGAACTGCTAGATAGATCTCCATCTTGTCAGACTCATTATGAACTTCCAGCTTGATCTGAAACATCAAAAACAGCCCAAAGCAATGCAATGGACTCTCTGCACCAAATCTCTGAAAGACCTGAAGGTCTGTAAGGATCTCCATGAAAAGCTCCCTTCCCCTTCTGCAAATGAAGGCAACACTGAGGAACTCTGCAAGGGGTTTAAAACCTCCGTCCATATTGCCTATGCTGAATCCACTGGATACACCACCCACTGACTGGTGACGCGAGATCCAAGCCCTTCTCGCCTGAAAGAGAAGGGCTATTTCTTCTTGGTAAGATGACACCTCATCTGAGCAGAAGAAGGAGATGTACCAGCTTCTCAAAGCTGAAGCACAAAGGAATATCCAAGAAATCAAAAATCAGCGGTGAGATGCGAAGATGACGTGCAGAGCTTTTTTGAGGCAATGAAAACCATCCACAGCCCAACTTCCAGTGGTCCTACGTTCCTGTGGTCACAGAATGGCTTGATGCTCCTTAAAGACATGAGGCTGAAGTTGTTCCTTTTTCCCAGTTCCTTATTCCTAGTTCCTAGTTCCTTTTTCAAAGGCAATCTTTACACGAGTAATGGTTGCTAGTAATAAATTACACAAGATAAAGAGTTAAGTTTTCACCAAAAATGTATATTTACTAATAACAATTTAAAGTAATATCCTGTATCAGATACATTGCCCTGAATAAGAAAATGAGATTAGGATGGGATTATGGGGCAAAATCTTTTTTCAGTTTATCCAAAACCACATGTCTCTGCAATTGGGGGTGTCTCTTGAAGAAGGCTGGGAAGAGTCCCGCACAGCCCATAGCTCAGGTCCTGCATGCCAGGCTGTCTATTGACAGGCCCCTAGGCCTAAATAAGGAGCTGGGTTTAGGCTGGGATTACAGGTGGAAATCCTATTTGGGTCACCCCAAAACATGTCTATACCATTGGGGGACTCTCCTGAACAATCTGGAGCAGGTCCATGCCTGACCTGAAACTCAGTTTTTGAGTGCCAGGCTGTCTACTGACAGGCCCTCAGAACTGAATAAAATGGATTTTGGCTGAGATTACAGGTGGACATCTTTTCAGGTCACCACAAACCACACATCTCTGCCACTGGGAGACTTTCTTGAAGAAATTTGGGCAGGCCCCTACCTGACCTGAAACTTGGCAAGTGCCAGGCTGCCTACTAAGGCTCCCGAGCCAACTATGAAATAAGGAACTGGATTTGGGCTGGGATTATGATACGAATCCTCTTCAGGTAACCCCAAAACATATGATTCTGCCACTGGGAAACCATCCTGAAGAAGCCAGTATAGGTCCTAGCCTGACCCAAAGCTCGGTTTTTGTGTGCCAGCCTGCTACCCATCCACCCAGATCTGTGATAGGTAATTAGCCCCAAATAAAGAGCTGAGTTTTGGCTGGCATTACCACAAAAAATCCTTTTGGATCATCCCGAGACAGAAATCCCTGCTGCTGGGGGACTCCCTCGATTAACTTTTGGATAGGCCTGGCCCACAGCACATGTATCAAGTGCCAGCTGGCCAAATAAGAGTCTCCAAATTCTGCGCTAAATCCACTGCGATGAATCAGAAACTGAGTTTGGGCTTGGCTTACTGGGAAAAACCAGCTTTGGATCATCCCAAATTGCAAGTCTCCACTTTTGGTGAACCCTCCTCGAGAAGCCTGGGCTCACTTTTTCCATTACAAACTTACAAATAATAGCACTCCACCCAGTTACATGTGTTATGCACATAACCCTGTAATAAGAAGCTCAGCCCAGCTGCTGCCCTCCCCAGCCCAGCCCA